GTTCCCGGAAGTCGGCAGAAATTCCTACTGGGCGGGAGGGGTGGGGAGGTACGGTGGAGTGGTGGGGGGTGGCCCAAGGGTGGTGGGAGAGGGTCCGGCCATGCTGCGCCTGGGCTGGGACTGGTCCCGCCGGCGCAGGTTAGCAGGAAGCTCTCCACACACTCACCAGACCTGGGCTAGGACTGGGTCTATATAAACTTTAGTTATAAATACCATAGAATGTTTTCTGAAACTGTGTGGATTTTATGGTAGAGTTTTCTAAGACACATTTCATTTTTCATGTAAGTACCTAATTCTTTTTTATCTATGTATTTTCTTCTGAGTTACTATATTTAGGTCTCTACATTCTATAAATTTGATTTGAGAGAGCTTGCTACTACTTCCCTATTGCTAGTAGTTTGCTGTGCATGTTTTTGTGACAGGGTCTTACTATATATTTCAGGCTGGCCTTGAATTCACTGTATAGCCCAAGATAGGCTGAACTCGCAGAAATCCTCCTGCCTCAGCCTCCTAAATGCTGGGATTATGAGCATGTGCTACCATACCCAGGGGTTGTTTTTGAGATTATTTTTACTGTGTTACCCAGGCTGATCTCTTACTCCTGATCTTCTTCTTCTTTTTTTAATTTATGTGTGTGTGTGTGTGTGTGTGTGTGTGTGGCCAGCTCAGCCCACCAGGAGGTGGGGCTGGCTGGCATGTGATGCTGGGGGATTGAACTGTGGTCCCTGTGCTTTGCTAAGCTTGTTCCAAATAGGTGCTGTAGACCACTGAGCCATCTCACCAGCCTCTACTCCTGATCTTCTTGCCCCAACCTTTCAAACGGCTAGAACTACAGTAAATACCAGCATACCCAGCTCTGATAGCAATTTTATGTCACATATTCATCCTCTTGAATAGAAAATCCTTTTGCTTTTTCCTCCCATATTTTCATTTGTTATTAAAGAGTGAACAAATGTTATGCCCAATATTTTTTATCTTTTGCTAAACAATGCCTCTTACTAAGAAACAAGGAGGTAAAATATGTGGAGATGGGAAAGGGATCTAGAGAAAAAAGGAAGATAGGGAAGGGGGAGTAAAAATAATGAAGATGCAAATAATGGAACTTAACAAAATAGGGGATACAGATGAATGTCCATTTTGTATCTGTGTATTCAAAGTGGTTAGGATAGATATATAGTTACATTCTCTTAATGAACAGAGGGATTTGTTCTAATGGTGTTTGTAAAGAGGATATCATGTCCGCATCTTGTACAGCAATTAACCACTAGGAAGAATGTATGCAATGTGTTAATTATTGAAACTGTCCTACCAATTTGATTTGAAACTGTCTCATTGCTATTTGTTTATCAATAAAATTATGGGAAAAAATAAAAATAAAATATAAAAAAATAATAATAATGAAGATGCTACACTGGCCCCACCCCCAGGTGTGCTAAGCAGGCCACCAAGACTGGGTGTGGTGGTGCATACTTGTAATCACAGCACTGGGGAGACTGAAAACAGGAGGATCACTACAAGTCTGAGCTGTGCTGTGAGACCCTTTACCAAATACATAAATTAAGTAAAATAATCAAGATGCAATATGTTATACTGCCAACTTCCCAAGAATGATGTAATTATTATATATCACACCATTAAAAACGTTAAAAGTAAGTAATACCTTTTACTACTTGTCTTTTAAATGTCTGGCTGTTTCTCAGCCAATTCATAATAAAAGGTACCCAAATAAAACCATATCTAGAATTTTCATCATACCTGTTTCATAAAGCTTGTCAAGTACATGTAAGTTTGAATGATACAAATTTCAGTGTAATGTAACATGTCCAATAAAACTTGGGAGCTGTTGTAGGAGATGGTGGGTTTTTATCAGTGAAAGAAATCTAGTATGGGGCTGGGGAGGTGGATCAGTAGAATAAGCGCTTTTCTGGCAAGTGCAAGGGCCTGAATTCAATCCCTGGTTCTGAAAAAAAAAAGAAAGCTAGTATGTTGCTAGGTTACTCCTAAGTTGGGAGTTAGAGGGGATGAAAGTTATAAAATCGGAAACTATAGAAGAAATTCAAGCAACAAGTGAAGTTAAATTAGACTTAAAATCAAATTCCATACCTGGAGTTCTTTATCCTGTGAAATTAGCTTAAATGAACTGTTGCTTTTTTAGAGATCTGATGGTTTCCAGTATTCTTTTAGGTGTAGAATTTCTCAATCTAAGGAAACCTGTCAAGTTACACATTCCTGTTGTCTTTATTTATAGCCAGTCATTCTCTTTGTGCAGTTACCAAAAATCCCACACAGGTAATTGAATGAAGTGGCATCCACATGCACACTTCCAAGAGTTGAGACTTGTCTTTGACCATAAGAATTCCTATAATGTCTTTAAAAACTAATCCTCTTGTTAACTCTCTTTTTCTACAGAAGTGTGTAAGTGTTCCCCTGTATTTTAAACCTTTGGAAGGAAAGTTGTAACGTTGTAACTATAACAAAGGGCAATTAAACTTACTGGAGCACAGTAGTGCAGCTACCATGAACCAAACTCTTCTGCTGTGCTTCCTCATAAATTGGCAGTGTGTGCTCCATAGTAATGCTAAATAAATGTGTTTAAATATATGAATGGCAGAATATTATAAATTTAGTTTCAGAATGTCTATAATGATACTGTCCAATAGAACTTTTTCAATGATGGATGTATCTGTCCATTATGATTGGAATGTGGCTAGTGTGACTGAGGAACTAAATTTTTCAAGTTATATAATTTTAATTTTTGTGTTGTGCTGAAGATTGAACCCAGGGTTGTGCACATGCTAAGTGAGTGCTCTAGCACTGAGCTATATCCCTCAGCCCAATTTTATTTTTTTTATTTATTTTTATTTTTTTTTTTTTTTTTTTGCAGAACTGGGGATTGAACTCGGGCCCTTGCACTTACCAGGCAAGCACTTATTCTACTGAGCTGTTTCCCCAGCCCCCGTCAGCCCAATTTTAATTAATTTTAACTTAAATAGCCACTCATGGCTAGTTGGCTACCTTATTGGGTGCTCAGCTCTATAAGAACAATTTCAAGAAGTCAGGTTACTTAGAAATTGGAGTTCCTGTGATTTTTTTTTTTTAGAACCTATGGATACTGTGGCAATAATGCGTTGTTGTTGTTGTTGTTGTTGTTGTTGTTGTTGTTGTTGTTCTTCTTCTTCTTCTTCTTCTTCTTCTTCTTCTTCTTCTTCTTCTTCTTCTTCTTTTGAAGTTATTTTTAAGCAACTGCTTATTCAGTAGTTGATGACAATGCCAAGATAAATGACACAGCTTTTGTCTATGGCCAGGGATCTGACAGTTATTATACTATAAGTGCATTGTGAAAAATATTATTGTAGAAGCATATATATAGAGTGAGGTGATAGACACAGAAAAGATGGCATAACTGTAAATTAAGAAAGGATTCTCAGGAAAGCTGAAGGCTTTCAGTGATTGAGCTGAAACCTTAAAGGAAGAGTCAGACATTTTCTTACTTTTGTTTTTGTTGGGGGAAGCAGATTTCCTGAGTTACTTATAAAGCATTACTCATGATCAATTTAGGACCAGCCTTCTTCGCTTCTTATAAGCTCTATTTAAGTTCAGAGACATAGAGCTTTCCCTAACCCTCAGGTCTTGACATATCCCTTCTTCCTTCAGTGCTCCGTGAAAAGCTGCATCACTGCCTTCCATGTCACCTGTGCCTTTGAGCACAACCTAGAGATGAAGACCACCATAGATGAAGAGGATGAAGTAAAGTTCAAGTCTTACTGCCTCAAGCATAGCCAAAACTGGCAGAAAGCGGGAGATACTGAGCACTCCCACCACAGAGCTGCCGAGCAGAGCCAGGCCAAAAGTGAGAAAACCAGCCTGCGGGTACAGAAGCTTAGGGAGCTAGAAGAGGAATTCTATACCTTGGTCCAAGTAGAAGATGTGGCAGCAGAGCTGGGGATGTCCACACTAGTTGTGGACTTCATCTATAACTACTGGAAACTAAAGCGCAAAAGCAACTTCAACAAGCCATTATTTCCTCCAAAGAAGGATGATGAAAATGCCCTTGTACAGCCGAAAGAGGAAAACATTCACACTCGCATGCAAATGTTTATGCACCTGCGGCAGGACCTGGAAAGGGTAAGGTGATGGGCTCTGATTAGTGAGATCTCATCTGCATAGAAGTGGAGGTCTTATTTCCAGTTACAGTCCGCTCAATTTGGTTTGAGCTTTTGTGTCTCTGATTTTCTTCTAATTTCACAGTGTCTCCAGACACAGGCATCTATTTAAATTTTCAGAGACACATTACAAATTGGAAAAGCCTCACATATATACTGTATCAACTATAAATTTAAAATAAGTCCGCATTTGATTTATATTTTATTCCCTGTTGAGCCTAGATTGGCTCAGCTATATTTTAGTAATATAAACTGCCAACAGCAGAAAGTAAATTCTGTTTTTCATGTTTGGGACTATTGACACTTTGGGCTGAATAATTGTATATTGTGGGATACTGGCCTTTATTATAGGGGGTATTGTAAAATGTTTAGCAGTATTTCTGGCCTCTACCCACTCCACCAGTTGTGACAACCAAAACAGTCCCTGGTTGAGAGCCACTCTACCAGATAATAAAACTCAAGATACACCTGATAGTTATCTACCAACTTGGGAACAGGGGTTCAAAGATAAATTAGGTGCTATGTTTACTTTATAGAAATTTATAATTAAGTATAATTATGTAAATGCATTAATTTTTGTCTGCTACCAAAATTTTAAAAAGAACCAATGGATTTGGCTCACTTTTAAAATATAAGACAACGCTTCCCTGGCAAGCGCAAGGGCCTGAGTTCAATCCCCAGTTCTGCCAAAAAAAAACAAATAAATAGGAAGTACTCAGAAGAACTAAAAG